TCAGAAAATTGGGACTAGTTTTACCTCAAGACCCAGCTATAGCACTCCTGGGCACATACACCCAAATGATGCTCCACCATACAAGGACATTTGCTCAACTATGTTCATAGCAGCTTTATTTGTAATAGTCAGAAACTGGAAACAACCCAGATGTCCCTCAACTGAAGAATGGATAAAGAAACTGTGATACATTTATACAATGGAATACTACTGAGCTATTAAAAAGAAGGACATCATGAAATTTGCAGGCAAATGGATGGAAGTAAACATGATCATCCTGAATGAGATAACCCAGACCCAGAAAGACAAACACGATATGTCCTCACTTATAAGTGGGCAATAACCATAAAGTACAGGATAACTATGCTACAAACCACAGACCCTAAGTTCCAGAACCCACAGAAGCTAAGTTACAAAGAGGGCCCAAGGTGCTGTGGGCGGGGGGCATAAGAGGAAATGCTTGAATCTTACTGAGAAGGGGATATAGCATAGACATCAGGGATGGGTAGAGGGAGGGAACTGGGTGAGGGGTGGGGTAGAGAGGTGAGCAGGAGGGATCAGGATGGGGGAAGATAATGGGACAGAGTACAGGAGAGAGATAACTGGAATGGGGGGGCATCTCTGGGACAAGCTAGAAACCTAGGACCATAGGAACTCCCAGGAGTCTATGAGGGTGACCCTAGCTAAGACTCCATGGGGGACATGGAGCCTGAAATGGCCATCTTCTGAAACCAGAAAAGACTTTCGATGGAGGGATGGGGACACCAACCTAGCCACAACATCTTAGACCCACAATTTCTCCTGCCAACAAGATGAGCAGATATTGAAGGAATGGCCAACCAATGACTGGCCCAGCTTGAGACCCATGTCATGGGGGAGAACCCACCCCATACATATTAATGATACTCTGCTATGCTTGCAGACAGGAGCCTAGCACAACTGTCATCTGAGAGGCTTCACCCAGCAACTGATGGAAACAGATGCAGAGTCCCATAGCCAAACATTAGGCAGAGCTTTGGGGAACTCTATGGAAGAAGAGGACGAAGGATTTAAGGAGCCAGAGAGGTCAAAGGCACTACAAGAAAACACACAGAACCAACTCACCTGGGCTTATAGAGGCCCACAGAGACTGAACTACCAAACAGCATATTTAGGACAGACCTAAGCCCTCTGCATATTTGTAACATGGTGCAGCTCAGGCTTCATATGAGACTCCTAATAGCAGGAAGGGGCTGTCTCTGACTCTGTTGCCTGCCTTGGGATCCGTTTTCCCTAACCAGGCAGTCTTGCCTAGCCACAGTAGGAGAAGATGCTCTAATCCTACTACAACTTAATATGCCAAGAAGGTTGATATTCTTGGGAGGCCTCCCTTTTTCTGAGCCTCTTCTGAGGAGAAAGAGAGAACTAGGAAGATGGTGGGGAGGCGAGTGAAAGGGAGGGACTGAGGAGAAGAGGGAGAGGAAACTGATCGGGATGTAAAACAAATAAATTAATAAAAAGAAAAGAAAGAAAACACCCACCCCTAAAAATGAATGAATGAATGAGTAGATAGATAGATAGATAGATAGATAGATAGATAGATAGATAGATAGATAGATAGATACAACCCACCCCTAGAGGATAGAGAGAAGAGATGGCCTGGCAGTTAAGGTGACTTGTTGATCTTGAAGAGGATCCAGGTTCAGTTCCACTTACTCAATGATAGTTCACAACCACCGTAACTCCAGTTCCAGGAGAGTTGACACCTCTTCCAAACTCTACATACACATATGTGCAGACAAACACACATACACACAAAAGTGAAATAAATAAAGCTAGCTGCTTGGAACTTTCTACCTAATCCAAATGAGGCCATGGCCTGCTGAAGAAGACACTCTCCGCATAATTAAGTCAGACTGAAAGTCTTAGCCTGGAGCGGTAGTGCATATCTTTTAATCCCAGCAGAAGCAGAGGCAGAAGAGCCGGGTGGACCTCTGAGTTCAGGGACAGTCTGATCTACAGGGCAAGTGCCAGGATAGCCAAGCTACACAGACGAACCCTGTCACAAAAAAAGGAGAAGGAAGAAGATAGGAAGGAAGGAAGGAAGGAAGGAAGGAAGGAAGGAAGGAAGGAAGGAAGGAAGGAAGGAAGGAAGGAAGGAAAGAAGGAACTGAAAGTCTTATATCCTCATGTTAAATTTTCTAGATTATAACTTTTAAAATACTGGGCACACAACAAAAAAATCAACTTGCATGAAGTGTGTGTGTGTGTGTGTGTGTGTGTGTGTGTGTGTGTGTGTAAGCACACTGCACATTTGGAGGTCAGAAGACAATTTGTAGGAGTCAGTTTTCTCCTCCAAACATGTAGGATCCAGGACTGAATCTTGGGTCGTTAGGCATGGTGGTGGCAAGTGCCTTTACGCACTGAGTCATCTCACTGTTCTGATTAGCTAGTTCAATCCTTATCAGATATGATTTAAAAAACACACTGCTATATGTACAGATGAATGGAAAGAGAAGTAGCCTTAGAGAAAGAGATATCAAGATCCTGAAAATTCTAAAATGGAAAATACAACCACAAAAATAGAAAAACGAGAGTACCAAACTTGACTTCATTGGCTCAGCTTATGGAGAGCTGACCCAGTAAGTTTGAGTACAGGGGCAGGTGAGATTACTCCATGGTTAACAGTGTGTGCCACCAAGCCTGATGAGTTTGAGGTCTGGGACCCATCTGGTAAAAAGAGAGAACTGGCTCCTATGACCTCCACATGGGGTGGCTGTGGCACATGCATGTACACACACACACACACAAACCTACATGTGCATACAAAATAAATAAATAAATAAATAAATAAATAAACAAACAAACAAATAAATGTGAATTGAGAGAGAGGGGGAAAAAAAGAATATTCAACAAAGAGGAAAAACATTTAAAAATATAAATTTGGAGACTGGTAAGACAAAATGGAAAGGAGAAATCTTTGAGTTACTAGAAGCTTCGAAGAGGACTTATTTAAAATCTGAAGAGACAAGGGTAAAACTTTCTCAAAGCTGGCTAGAGACACAAGACAATAAATTCAAGAGCCTCAGAGCAGCAAACAAGATAGCCCCCAAATCATAACCAAACTACTGAAAACAAAAGAGTCCAAAATTTGTAAAAGCGCTTAAGAACAAGACTGTCTATTGCTCAAATTTTCTCCTCAGAAGTACTAAAGGCCAGAATGGAAAGGACTGTTTGACTAGAATGCATCCTGGACAATTAAGACAGCTCTGTTCAGAAGGAATTCTCCAGGGCTGCAGAACAGAAATAAGGGCAATGGAAGGGAGAGAGGGGAGTGGGAAAGGAGGGGAATGGCTCTAAAATGATAAACAAGTGTCTGAAAAGTACATGAGAACATGCTCACTGTTTAAAGGAACCAGTGACAAAAATAATAAAACCACAAGACGCTGCTGTTATGCTTCCTGAGGCCTTTTTTTTCAGCTGAGGGAGAAGTTACTGCGGGGTTTCAATTCAGAGTGTGTGTTGTAATAACATGTGGCCCAGGATGGTTGTGGGAACAAAGGGAACCTTATTCATTCTCCTGCTGAAAGGAGAGGAGAAATCACATAGGTTTGGGGTCCTTAGGTATTAAAATGGGGGTCTGATTTTTACTGTCCAGAACCTTCAAAGGAGACATTACTTTCTTCCACAGAAAATATGGCATTACTTTCATTCATTCATGTCCTTGCTCAAGTTGTAGAGATATTTTTATAGAGTTTGAACTAATTTTTATGAGTGCTTAGGAAGTATTCAATATGAGCTGGAGAGATGGCTCAGTGGTGAAGAGCACTGGCTGTTCTTCTAAAGGACTGTGGTTGGATTCCCAGAACCCTCATGGTGACTCACAACCATCAATAATGTGATCTAATGCCCTCTTCTGGCATGCAGATAGAGCACTCACATGCTAAACAAACATACAAACAAATAAATAACTTTTAAAAAATGTCAAGCTGGGTGGCGGCGGCGGCAGTGACACACACCTTTAATCCCTGGGCCATACAGTTAATACTAGTCAGACAGGGATACAAAGCAGGGCCTTATCTCTCAAAGGGGAGTAGAGTGGACGTTGAAGTCCATTTCAGTTCCTTCAAGGATAACACATTCATTTCCATCGCAGTCAGTGTTGGCAACGGTAATGGGTTTCAACTTTCTAAGATGGTGAGTAACTGGAACTGAAGTCAGACTACAAATATAAAGCCTATGCAAACTCTATGGGTCCACTTCCTCAAGAACTAATGAGCTTTAGACAGTGAGATTTCCAGTGACTTTAATAAGCATCTTGACACAACTATTTCAGTGTCAGAAGGAAAGTTCAGGAGCTATTCCTTAGACCGAGTAAAGGACACGATAAGAGATGGGAAGACCTAGGCAGGATGTGCTTTCCTGACTCCACAGCCACCCTTGCGTGGTAGCACATCTATCAACACAAATATTTGTATGTCTGCTTCTAAACCATTCAAGCTAAATTAAGTATTTTAAGGAGATGTTTGCAATAGCTAACTTTGGCTGTCAACTTGATAAAATCTAGAAATCACCTTGGAAACAAAGCTCCAGTTAGGTCTGTGAGGGAATCTTTAGACTGAGTTATCTGAACTGGGAGAGCATCGTCTGTGGGTTGGCATCCCACACCGTATAAAGAGAAGAGTGAACAGGACACGGGTGTTCATCTCCCTCTGCTTCTGACAGTGAAGTGATAGCCCCTCATATGCCTGCTACCAGGCCTACCCACCACGGCATGATGGACTGTACCCTCAACCTGTGAGCCATGACAAACCCTTCCTCCTTTAGGTTACTTCTGTCACAACAATGAAGAAGTCGACCAATATAACATCTGAAGCACAGGTTTTAGAAAGTCTTTCACTGGCGTCTACTGTTTAGTTGATTGAGACTGGGCCAAGCCATCACAGCTACTGTTGGTTCCCAGTAGCACATTTATAAACATAGAAGTTTTCAGACAACACTCTTCATGGACAGATACTAACCACCAGTCTGTGATAAAAATCTCCTCCGATGCCCCTTCCATTGCATTTGCGATATCTTCAAAGTAACCTTTGGCATTCACATACCTGCAAGATAAAGCATTTGTTCCTTTGTTTACTTTTTTGTTTTGATAGGTTTTTTTGTTTGTGTTTATAAAACAAGACAAAAAAAAAAGAAACCCACAAAAATACATTCTAGGCAAAGAAGGCTCTGCCTGGTCTCCATCACCATCATGTTACTTTGAGTAACTGGAAACAAGATTGAAAACATCATCTTGCCTCCCTCTGTCACCTAGGAAAGGCAGTGAGGAGACAGACCCAAGAGATCTTTGCAAAGACAGCAACATGTCAATAGACCTTATAGAGCCTCCTTTATCATATGGGCTTTTCTCCTGAGATTAAAAACACACCAGCTCAAATCCACAAATAGGAATTGATTGAAACAAACCTCCATTTGTTCCTTCAAGACATATATGAACTTACATTTTGCTTTTCTTTTTAGAACTGGGTCGCAGTCAGCTTAGGCTGACCTCTGAATCGAAACAGGACCTTAAACTATTGATCTCCTGCCTTCACTTCCCATTTGCTGGGATTACAAATCTGTAATTACAAATCCCTGGTTTTATGAGGTGCTGGAGATCCAACCAGGGATTCTCAAATACTCGATAAACACTGTAACTGAGCTATGAACCCAGCCTTGAAGCTGATTTTAAAAATCAGAGTTCTATCTAGGCTCAGTGGTGCAGTCTTGTACATACAGCACTAGGGCAGTGAGGGCAGGAAGATGAGGAGTTCAAGGTCATCTTTGACTACATTGCAAGTTCAAGGCCAGTCTGGGTTTCACAAAATCCTATCTCACAAAACAAATCAAACTTCCAAATCTAAAGGCAGGTAAGTCCTACCACTAAAAATCTTCCAAAACCAAAATTGAAAAACCAACCTGTGATCTAATGGCGTAGGAGAGGCAAGACCTTGGGAGAACACTGAGTAATCGCTGGTTTAGTTTTGAACTGATTTCAGGTGAATTTAAGCCATTATAATATTAGATGAACACCTGTGAGCAAATATACCTTACCATTTAGCTAAAACGTTCTCCTGGACAGCCGCATAGGAACCAAAGCGATGGTCTTTGAGAAAGTCAGCGCCATGTTTCTGGACGAACTCTTCTATGGCCCCTCCCCACCACCGGGCGTGTCTGTAGCTGTTACATTTTAAAATGAGTGTCCTTTAAAGAAAAGCAAAAGTGGGTGTTGGGGGTTTACTCTGAGTTCTAGCTCTTAAAAGAAATTTAAAGATTAAACACACCACAGCAAACATGAATTGAACTTTCTAGTTAACGAGCATTTTAAAAGCAAGCTTCTACAACACCTCGGTAGAATTCCTCAAAGCATTCACTGTGTCAAAGCTTAGTCACTCGCCAGGCTCCTTACTCACTCTATTTAATATAGACCTTGAACTGTGTTGGGATTCACACCCAGGACAAGTGGCTAAGGTTCACATTTAACCAAAGTGGACCTGGCCTCCAGGTTCTGCCAGCATCCTTCAGCCCCTACCTGTTACAGGGCACGGCACAACTGGCATATCCTGCCCTCTGCCCTGAACTTTCCAGCCCAGGGGTTGGGACTCCCCTTCCCCAGAAGCTCTTCCCTATATAATAATCTAGATATTTTGTGTTCTCTCTCTCTCTCTCTCTCTCTCTCTCTCTCTGCATCTCCTCTCTCTGCTCCTTTGTGCTTTTTTTTTTGCGTCCCCACCACAGCTTTTCTGTATCCCTCATGCTCCTGCTGTAAGACCAGTGAACCTGCCCAGAGCTGCCTCTAATAAAACCGCCTTTATATACTCTGATTCGGCTTGAATAGGCTCATTTCTTCAGCGGAGATAACCTATCAGGAGGTGAGGACAATGATGGGATAGGAACAGAGTGAGGTCACACTTCTGTCAGAGTTGCTGAGTCCTCAGCACAGTTCTCTTTGCACTGACTACCCTGCCTTCTCATGTACTTCAGAGGAGTGCTCCCTTCTCTTCTTTGACTCCAGCAAAGCTATGGAAAGCAGCATACCCCATTCCTCTAGTCCCAGTGGACTAGAGCAAGGGTACAAATGCCAGTCCCACCCCATGGGAGTAGAACTGAGAATACAGCAATGTGAAGGCAGTAAGCAGCCATCTTGCCACCAGAAGCAGAGAGTCTGAGGATGAGGCAGATCTCATATGCCAAAGCTAAGGAAACCTAGGAAAATGTGTCTTAAGGACATATTTTAGCTTGAAAATTAATTACCCAACATGGCTGATTAAATTTGTTCTGGAATAAGCCAGTTTGCATTGGGTTTTTCTATCACACAAGCAAGCTACCTTAATTTTTTACAGAATTAAAAATATTTAGAATTCTGGTAGATTACAGAAAAAAAATTGTTAGGTATCAGAATGAGTGACCACCACCAAGAGGAGAAAATAAGTTACATAGAACTAATGTTCAAGGCATTGGCACTAGCTGCCTTATGCCATGCTGATAGAAGTGGGACTGGCTTAGAAGGCAGAGCTTTGCTTCATTTGATGATTTGGGCAGGGGGACCTGTATGATAGCTCTCAGGAAAAGCAAGGAAGGGGCCATATGCAAGACTCTATGACTAATTCTTTATAAAGATTAGGAATGCCCAAACAGCCCCTCTCAATGTTTCACAGATGGATGCTGGCCTTAGAAAGCTTCTGTTCAACAGAAGGGTTAACACTGGTGGGGTGTGGGGATAGGGAGATGAGATGGGGTGGGGTGGGAAAGACAGAGCCCAGCCAGGATCAGGAGGGGCTCTGAAGTTGCCTGGGGTCTACCTACCCTTTGGGAAAATCTGTTCTGGGAAGGTGGTTGTGTGAGAGGGATGAGTTATAAGCAGAGGCCTAGTGGTAGAGGAGGGGAAACTATTCTAAGCATAGATATAGAACAAGGGCCAGCCAGATGGCTGCATAGACAGAAGTGTTATAGGGCAAGCCTGACAACCTGAATCCCATCCCTGGAACCCAGGTAAAGGGAGAACTGGCTTTGCAAAGATTTCCTGTGACTTCCACATATATAATATGGCATCGTGCAACCCACTTATACATCACACACTAATATTAATAATTAGTAATAAAAATAATAATAGGGAACCCAGCGAGATGGCTCAGTGGGCAGATGTACCTGCCACCATCTTTGATGACCTGAGTTCAATCCCCCAGCTCCATATGGTGGAAGGAAAGGACTGACTCACGCATGCACATGAATAAATTGGATGCATAAATAATAGAAGTAGCAAGATGAAGGAGGCAAAAAAAAAAAAAAGTGTGTGAGAAGGGATTGTAAAGAGAACTGCTCACACAGAACCAAATGGATGTGGTAGGGGTATTTCCAAATTAAACAGAGAGATAAAGAGCCGTAAGTAAATGGAGAAGCTGGGCTTGCTGGTATAAATAACAAGGCACACTTCTACTTGGAAGGAGACTGAAGAACCCTGGATTCAAACAGCTTCCCTTGGTGTGGGGAGTGGAGATAAGGAGGCTAGTAAAGAAGGCATTTCTTTAACAGTCCTGAACGTCCCCTTCTGGGAGGAAAGCAGGAGGCTCCGCATTGCTTTATACCCCACAGCACCCTGCACACAAGCATGCACGCAGACACACATGGCATGCATGTATTACAGTTGCTTGTTGCAACTGTACAAAGAAAAATTATGAATATTCATATGCGTGAGAGTGATTACACACACACCCCCCAAACACTTTTCCGAAGTGTGACTACAATCTGCCAGAAAAAAACCTACATCAATACATATGTACTCACTAATAAAATATGCAAACTACCAATTGACTCACTCATTTGGCAAATTGATAGGGTAGCAAGCTTTGTACTCCAGATCCAGGGCATCCAATGTCCCCTTCTAACCTCTGCAAACCCCTGAATTCACTCACATGTACATACCACACACCCCTACCCATACCCCACAGTCAAAATTAAAATAAATCTTCAATGACAAACACACAAGGCAATGGTAAGTTCTATCACTTCTGACTAAGGATGAGCTCCAAGAAACAGTTATCAACATTTAAATCTAGTTTACTCCTTTCTCATGGTGGAGAGAAAATTTTAGCCATGAAGAGAATGGAATATGTTTTAAACATTAGAAATTTCTACCTTGAAAGGTTATCGATTCGAAGTCCGTACTTCGTTTCTGTCTCTTTCCGTCCAACTTTTATTTTGAATTCTTTATCTACAAGCAGGACAAAGGCAATAGCTCCACTGTCTGGCTTCATATATAGCAAGAAAGAGTCTTTCACGATCAACCACCTGGAAAAAGATGACAGGAGGCTTCAAAGCTGAATAACTGAAGCAAGAAAAGCAGTTACTACTAAAGCTTTGAGAAAACACCCAGGCAGGTCATGAATATAACGCCATGACTCATCTAGGGGACTTGTGCCTTTTAAAGATTGCCATGAAACAAGAGCGAGAGCAGTGGCTCAGTGGTACAAGGCTTGCCTACCGTGCACAAGGTACTGGGGCTGATTCCTAGTGGGGAGAGGAATTGCTACAAAGCAAGACTTTTGTTTGTCTTGCTCTGAGTGTGGGCATCAAGCAGTTAAAAAAGATACATTCATTCTTGGAAGAATGTCCCTGATGTTGGCAGGAAGTACTGAAAAGGCCCTTACTGAAGAATGGAAAGGGGTGGTGTTCGCTCACCTAAACGATTATGAAAGGCAAATGAGTCCAGAAAATTGAATAACTACACCCGTCACTCCAAATATTCTGTTGTTCATTTCAAAATATTTCTGGTTTAAGGATCAATATGAATGATGTCCAACAAAACAGAAGTAGCTCTCAACAGTACTCCATTCAATTCAGTACTCAGGAGCTTCATAATGGAGTAGAGTGGCAAATTGGGAGTTGGTGTAGAAGTAACACAACTATAACACAGACGAATTTCTGTCCCCAAAAGGGCTTGCGAGCCTCCTGGAGGTAGAAACCAGGATCATTCTTGGATATATGAGTAGGTAGTAGAAGGGAAGAGGAGTGATGGTGTCTGAGCAAGTGTGGGAAGGATTCCACAGAGTGGTGCAGGGTCAAAGTCGTCCTGTTCTAGTGACGACAGCAAAGAGCCTGGGGTGTGGGCACCTGCAAGTGTGGGAGGGAATGTGTGTGCAGTGAGAGCTGGATATGAGCTACGGCTGCGGTGAAGGCTGAAGAGCACCCATTCTTCCAGAAAATAAGTAGATAAGCTTAAAACAATCTAGAACAATTCCTTACTAAAACTACTGGCCATGTTATACTTCAGTGGGCTTTATGAGCAAAGCCTTAATGTAGACAAATCTACACTGGCTGCTACTTATTCTTGTTGGCATTTGGGTTTTTGTATGAGTTGTCTCTTTCCTGGTTGGTAGAGGAGATGGGGCAGGTAGCCTTACAGTAAAGGAGGTGCATGACAGGTACTAGATCAACGAGGTAACAGCAAGCCAACACTTAACTACAAAGGTCAGTGAGCCTGGAGAGACAGAATGGAATACCACAATGGAACTGAGCCTCCTGGGCTTTCTGGTGAATAAAAACAAGAAAGGAAAAGAAAGAAGAAAGAGAGAAAAAGAGAAAGAAAGAAAGAAAGAAAGAAAGAAAGAAAGAAAGAAAGAAAGAAAG